GAGGTGGTGGTGGTGCTGCTGCTGCTGCTGCAGATGTCGGTACCGTGAGAAAACTGCTGCTATTGTCCCCTTCGGCGAACAGTTGGCAAATTCTATCCACGCGATCGCGTAGATTCACAGTGAGGGTGGGCATCGCCTGGAAGGTGGAAGGGGAAGCAGACATCAGCGGTAAGTCAATATAACCATTTTATAAAAGCGTCGAAGAACAGCAAAGAACCCCTACTACGTAATTGCCTTTCGTGAACGCACTTTTTGCGGGTGACCGGAAAGCGGTAAATTCAAAGGCCAACAGCCAGGCGACCTATATTATAACTGTGCTGTGCGATAATTAAATGTTGCAAAGCTAGTAATGCATTCTAATCGAGATTATGCATTAAAATTTAAGTTAATATTTCGGGAGACACGCCAGCAAACACAGTCCACCGCGTGCTCCACAGCGTGGCGATGGTGCAGGAACGGTGAATTGCACGTGGCTTAGTTTTAAGTGATAGCAGATTTTCACTGCCCTTTTACATTCCACCACGCCCCCCCCTCCCCCATGTTCGGGATTTGTTATCGGCGTGCAACCCGAATAACTTCTGCCGTACACTGACCTAGCTCCCGTCTTGGCTCAGCGCATCTTCCACGCGGGCCGTTTAGGGGGTAATTAAACACAAAACCACTATGCATATGATTACGCCAGTGATTATGATGCTATTTGGGGCATAAGCGTTGACAGTCTACCTCAAACATTTTCACCTCAGCTGCTTCCGGACAATGCTAAAAATGGGGTGACAGGAGAGAGTCCTCGACACAAAATTCCTGGAAGAAACCGGAATCCTCCGCCGCATCGACACGAAAAAAATATTTCTTGTACGCGTTTGGTAGCAAATTACGCCTTTAAATTTTATAGTTAAAAAGGGCATCTTTCGGTTTTAAAAAGTTTCCAAGTTGCCGAATTATTTTTAAACCTACTGACTGTTGCACTCGAATTCAAGGTTTACAAACTGCGCACTGTGTACATGCTGTTTAAGGAAAAGTACGTTTTTGCCTACAGTTTGAGGAAGAAGTCATATAGTTCTCATAAAATTTTGCAATAAATGTAGAGCATGCTTTATACAGTATAGGCAGCATTAACAAATTGACGGATACGATGTATTATG